TTATCCAAGGAAAGCAGCTTTTGTGAAAGGCTGTAGTCCTAATTTGACAAGCATTATACATGTGCAACTCCTTCACAGATGGACATCCACAAGGCTGAAAGCTGTCTGAATTTGGCGGAGCAGTCTGGAGTTCTTTTCCTAACCAGGAGAGTGCCTTAGATGTTGATCCTCAAAAGGTGATGTAAGAGGAGCTAGGAACTGGAGCTAGAAGCTACAGTTTGCAGTACTTAGATTGAGGGTAGGACTCTCCATCAATTTGTCACCTTATGTGAAAACATACAGTCTAATCTTTCATTGTAATCAAATATGGTCCCTGTTTTGTCATGTTTGGTCCCTAAATGAGGCACTGTCTGTCACTCTTTAAAGGAGTGTAGCAAAAAAAAAAAAGTTGGAACAACCTGTAAGATTCTACCTGTAAGATATGACTATAGCCTACTACGTTTTCATTACTAAGGTATATGGGCTGGTTAATTAAACACCAACCGTGTTTTTTTTTTCAGTCTTTTAAAGACAATTTATGAAGACTAGGACTTCACATAAAAAATATATGTATATTTATATTAAATAACTATTCAATATTAGCATTTCAAGCGATAATAATTCACCCTTTTTTAATTTCAACTACAATATTTGAGCCAGAAAATCTTTATTTTATTTTCCTAAAGATAATATTATAGTTGTTTCTTACAGGGAAATAAAACCAGTGGGCTTTGTAGCAGAATTTCTTCTAAAAAAAGAGTAAATAAAAAAAAATTCCACCACCCACCCATTTATTTATATTATCTTACCAATGATCATTATTCCTAATGCATAACTTGAAAAATCAAGCAAGATGTGAAAGTGGCTACATGTTCGTTTTCAGCACTGCATTATAAAAAAAAAACAAAAAAAAAACGCGATTGACTTTGTGTTAAGATATACTGTAATATAGTTTACCATCAGTTAGCAAAAAGATTTGCACTCCTCTGTGTAAGAGGAGCAAACTGAAATTCTTGATTTCTACCATTTCCTAAATAAGTTATTACCTCTATTTTTTAAAAGACAGACTTAGTGTAAATTAGTTTTTCAATTGAAAAACACATGTGAATGCAGTATTCATTTTTATATATCCTGTGATGTGTTTAATGACTTCCACTGGAGGCTTTTTCAAAGTAGGTGTGCTTCATATATGATGCCTAAGATGTTAAATAAGACAAATAAGAAAAATACTACAAAAGGACATTCTTAGAGTTTTTTAATACAATTAGAAAGGGGAAAGAAGAGGCAATAAAACTACACATTTTGGTTAAAAGGAGATTTTTTTTTGTACAATACTATTGTACATAGAGGAAAAAGGATGTCTGGTTGCTTTTTCACTGCACCTCATTCATATTATGCGTCCTAATAAACAGGTCCTGCATGTTTTCTTAACAGGTTCTAAAGTTCAATGATTTTGGGTGGAAAACACCAAGAATTTGCTGACTTGCCCTAAATGTATCAGAATCAGTGTCAGGGTTCCTGTGTGTGGGTTAGTGCAAGTTGTGCATCTCTACCATAGAGGATCTTTGTGGAGAATTTAAGTAGCCTACACAGGTGAAAGTAATCTTTATAATAGTAGTGCTAGGCTTAAAAGAGCACCAGAGCCTTCATTCAGTGCTGGTTTCTTGTGTGCATTGAAGTTGTTAGTTGCTTCCTAGTCTCTTGCTTCCCTTGAGTATTTTTCCTGATGTTTATTGGTTTTGTTTGATTTTCAGTATTTTTTTATTTTTGCCTCTGTTTCCCTTGGGCTTACATTAAACCATCCAAACTCGTCCGTGCCTTCTGCTCTCTGCATTTGGGTCCTCAAAACCTCCACCAAACCTGACACATTCAGGGCAAGTATTTCTCTTTTCGATTAAAAGCTTAAAACAAACAGAATTAGTTTCTCTCATAACAGAGCAAGAATCCGTCTAAAAACATTTGATAATAGCTGCAGTGTAGAATACAGCAACAGATATCAAGCAGTCATCAACTTTGCTATAACTGATATGATGACATTTATTTGTTCTATGATGATAATTTTTTTTCTGTTGTTGAAATTTAGTTTTCCTATAAGAAGTTGAAAAAGGATTTAAGCATTTCCATACTCAAACATGTTTTCCTTTTGTTTTCCCTTTAGTTAATTTGAACAGGGCAAACTCTATTTTTATCTTCACATTACCATTTGTCATATCCACTCAGTTGAAGACAGAGAATGTTTTTTTTTTTTTTCCGAAAATGTAAAAGTCTGGGACAGATAAAGACGACAAATCATGTCTCCTGTTGATGCCTTGCAGTACCCGTTTTATTTTCTTCATTGTTTCCACAGCAGCAACACGCTGTTTGAGTGGTCGGATTAAAATGTGCGCACTAAAGGATAGCAGGTTTACATGTTCTTTGAACTGTAAAATTCTCCACTGAACTGCTTAAATCTCAAGAAAAATCAAGGCTGTGCTCTAAAAACTATTACCAGTTTTTTACACTTCACTGGCCAGCTGAGCACTCTCCATTGTGAGCAGCACCAATCAATACGAGTACTCCTCCTAACTCTGAATTGCAGTTCAAATGAGGAGGTCTCTGTTTATAAGGATTAGTTTATCTTTATCTTGCAAGAAAAGGGGAGTTTTTATCATCTTGTTAAATTCCTAAACTAGAAACCTCCCTTGGTTTCGCCTGCTTTAAGGTCATCCTGTGCTTCAACGCTCCCCTTGGTCATCTTTTTGAACAAAAGGCGTTTTTTATGAGGGTCACAGCTAAGTGTCCTCCCTTGTGTATATTCACACTTGTCTTCTACTAAGGCACAAGATGTTAGATTTAATAATATTACATGAAGTGGGCTACAAATTACGTACTTTTTATTTCCTGTGAAAAAATAACAAAACAAGCTATCATTTTTGATTTACAGACAACAAGAACGGCTGTAATCACCATAATTGGATGACCATAATCATGCTGCCTTTAAACGAGCTGCCATTAAACTGACTAAAAGGCAAAGGGAGGCAGAGCACCATTTTTATCATATTTGTTAAAAATCAAAGACCACAACAGAGGAACATTCCTGCGGGGGAACACAAAACATAAGAGTGGATCATTATGCACTTGGTTGCCGCATTGAGGCCAAATCCCTTTCAGTGGAATAAAATTGTCTGTGATGTGTAACAGATGTGACTGTTTAGAGGGATTCAGAGAAGCTAGAATCAGTATTTAAGCTGCACAAGCTAAGCAGATGCAGAGATCCATATCTAAAATCTGTGCTGGTGTACAGAAATTTGGGATCTCAGGAGTTTTTCCTCAATCAAAAAAAAAAAAAAGAAATCCCTTTTAACTGATTTATTCATCCAACCCGTGTATTTGGTTTTGAGGACCCCAGTTTATAACCACAACAACATCTGGAATATCAGCAATATTTCCATCTGTCTTTAGCAGTCTGATTGTAGCAGCACGTGTGTCCTCTGTGCAGAAGCAGGTGCAGCACTCTTTCGCTTTGTATTCCTCTGTTTATCCCACTTATGACAACCACAAGGGTCCTTTAGAAGAAAACATTGCCCAATTCCCCCTAATCAATAAAAGCTCCCTCCAGCATATGCAGCCGTTGCTTGTGTTTATGTCCGGCCACAGATGTCGCTCCGTTGTGTTGATTTGTCAAACAAAAAAACACTTCATTGGTGTTTGAGTTTGTCAAGCTTGCTAAGCTACAGCTAAGCTGTGTGTGCAGCCATCTATATTACTGTTGATTAAAGCCTCTCAGTATTTACTCTGCAACAGCTCAAATGTTCGCAGAATAAAAATTAATGTAAAGAAAGGAGATTTTAATGGATTTCTGTTTTTGGTTCTTCATTCAGCCTATGTTGATATGCTAATGGCTAAATTAAAGCGCTGCATGCATAGTGGAGGATTAGCACTTTTTTTTATTATAAAGTCAATCCCTTGAAAACAGGCAGACAGCTTCTGTATTTTCCTTTTGTTCGCTTTTTCGAATGAAAGAAGAAAATTGTTAAATACTAATGTAGAAGTTGTTGCAGAAAATCTTACAACTAAAATGTGATTAAATCCAAAAAGGCCCAAATACACATGGATTATTCTAATTTTATTAAATAAGTTTTCATCAATCTAAACTATGGTCTGTCTGTCTGTCTTTCTGTCATAAATCTTTTATACTTTTCAGTTAAATTCCTTTAGTCACATCAGCAGACGATGAAAACGGGTTTTTGTATGCCATTAAAATTGACCCCAGTGTTGCTTTTGTTTCTAAACATAAACTACGCCCAACCGCGTGCAACCACTCACTAGCAAACGTGACACCTGGGTGTTTCATATGCAAAATCACTTGAGAACAGACAACAAATTTTCTCCCAAAATACTTCTGTTAGGCAACAAGATACATGTTGCCTAACATAAGCGATACAGAGGATGCGAATAAAAGCAACATATGGCTCTTATGTGAGGCGTAATTTGAGCCATCTGTGTGAAATACAGGGGATGTCAGTTTCTCTTGTTTTCTCGTCAAAGCAGAAATGATTCTGATGGCTGCTTAAACTTCACCCCTGGGATAACAAAATCACTCAGTAGCCTGAGGAAGATGCAAAGAAAGACGAGTTAGCTCCCTTTCTTTGTAAACTAGGACAACTATGTATTATGCAGCACTCAGAATCATAGCAGGTGATGGCTTTGGCTGATTTATAAGATAGGAGGTAGATGTATTTAGGTCATTTCTTAAATGAAGGAATAGATTAGATGCTAAGGTTAAGAGCCAGAGTACTATGGCATGCAGTCGCAAGAAGGAGGCCAATATCTTGAATTAAGGAAAGAATGAAAAGGGTGTAACACCAGAATTTGGCCTTTTGATTAAGGATCTAATCACTTTAACACTTTCACCGTTTGCATCCCACACTTATGTCAGTAACTCATAATCAGCCAGTTTTTTTTAATGATGTGGCAAAAACAACAATTGATGATCAGAATGGAATGATGATAGAGAGGTCAGTGAAATAAAATCCAAATACCTGAACATAGTATCGACATGAGCGCTCTCTCTTCTGCAGCTGTAATTGAAAGGAAAAGCAAAGGAGAGTTAGCAAAAGATCAACAACTCCAACTAACGATGCATAAGATATCAAGACTGGAGTTTTCACTGTTAGACTCTTGAGAAACACTGTTTGTTCATTTAATATCCAAGTTTTGCATGTCGGATGAATTGCTAAAATACGTTTTGTTTTAACTGTCTTTATAAAGATGTGGATAAAATGTTAAATGGAACAAAATATATATTTTTTAATTCAATATTTCATCAGAAAAGCAAGCTGCAATCTTAAGGCATACTCTTAAGACCTTGGTTTAAATAATGTCTGTCCATGGTCAAAGTGAGGACTTAGTGCTTAAAGCGGATTTATGATTAACTGGGAATTCCTAATCTTACACAGAGATGTGTTTTAGTGATTTTGTTTTGGACTAGTCTCTCAGTGACAGTTTGCATCCCTAACTAGGAGACAGATGTTAAGACTTACCTAAATAATTATCTCCATCTCCTGGGATCTAATAATCATTTCCCTTATGCACTGAGAGTCTTTTAAACACCACTTGAGAAAGCATAGATTGGTTCTCATGTGTCTGCTTTCTGATTGATGAACTGCTGCTCTGATCTTCATGGCATGTTCTCACATCTCGGAGGACAATCTACAGCTCTGTTAGAGAGCATACTAATAAAATCCCCACTTACCCTAGTTTTATTAGTCGGCCAACCTGAGGAGGAGTCCTAATGTTTTCACACTCCCTCCGCCTCGCCAATCACTGAGGTCCTTTTACTCCTGGGAGCACTCAGAGATTCAGCAATGGTCATACCCCTTTGCCCTGATCTATGCCTCACTGCAGTTTCACTACAGATGTCTATAAAAGGTTCTATAGAGTATATGCTTTTCATTTGTACTGACAGGTGTTGTTAACTCAGCCGCAATATTTACTAGTACTGTATTCCATACTAGCATCCACACACTTAAAGAAGCAAGCAAAGTATAACTATAAATTAACCCATTCTTCCCCTGCGACAGTATTGATCACTTTTTATTCATTAAAAAAGGCCTATTCGTATAAATTTTAAATACAAAACATCTGACAAAAAATTGGAAAAAGGTTCCATAAAGTTACACCCAAGGATTATTATTATACAAAAGAAAAAGTACTGTATGCCATAAATAGTAAGTATTATTAGTATTAATAGTAAAAAGTAATAGATGTTAAAGCTGATTATAATAAAATCTAAAGGTGCAGTAAGTTACTTTAAAAAAAAGGTATGTTTTACATATTGGCTGAAACTGTCGCTATGTACTCAAAGTGACATTTGTTACAGATAATCTGGCTAAAATGTGGTGCAGCTGTACGTCTATGTAAAGCTCTTTGTTCTCTACTAGACTGCTTGTTAAAATCTTTAGGCTAAGACGAGAATTTTCTTAAAACTCACTACTGCAGGTTTAAGGCTCGTTTTAATAATTATTTATTTATTTAATATATACTTATTTAGACCATCTTCTTAGGAACAACTATAGGGTCAAACACATCACAATGCGTGTTCTCATTACAAAGGAAAAATCAAGGGTCTCTTATTAAACAATGACATTTTTGTAAGAATGAATTTTTTTGTATCATGTTGGACAATGATTTAATTACTATTGTCTTTTAGGAACTTTGAAACAGCAGGATGTATGCTTCTGTTTGAGCAGCATGCTAAAAAACAAATGTTTTTTTAATGTCATTTGGCCAAAGTAACATGGTGGATTAGTGTGTACCTTATGCACTCAATCTTTTTACATAGAGTTATTAATACATCAAAACATGTTTTAATCTTTCTGAATCTTATTACATAAACTAAATACAAACCTTGATCTTACAGTAGGTAGTTTAAAGATAAGAAAAAAAAAAGAAAAACAACAACATTTTCAATAACTGCATTTTTTACCAATGGGTTTGCAAAATGCATTGAAACTGCTGGTCCAGTACAGGGAATTGCAAAAGTAAAAAAAAAACTAAACAAACACAATACATAATTCCCAACTTCAGCTGGCCCAGTTTGCATTAACACCAAAACAATTTTATACCGGGTCAAAAAAATGTCACAATGCAGGCGAAACAGATAATTTCAGGGGCAGAACTGTTTCAGTATCTCACTGATTTCAAAGAAATAAAAGGAAAAATAACATGAGGAAAAAGATGTATCTCATTGACTGCTCAGGGTCAAATATTCTCTTATCCTATTCCCAACAAACATTATAAAGCAACACAGATCATGGCAGTGTTGGGGTTTATGTCACTGCTTTAGTGTTTCTGTTTGTCTGAACCACTCCAGGGTTTGAATAAACTGTTCAGAGACAGGCAGTTGCAGCCGCGCCAAGATACGGTTCTCTAGTTTGTTTCAGCGTGTGGGTAAGGTTTAAGTCACCAACATGGTTCACTCTAAAATCTACACTCTGGCACGGTAAAAGCATTTTAAGCTTTTGTACAAAAATCTGTCAGTGAGAAGCAGAGTAAGAAAAAATTTAATTCTCCCTGTGGTGCATTTTAATAAGATGAAGGTAGTTTTCACCTTTAACAATGGTGAGGTAAAGATTAATTAGGTCTATTGGATAATTTATAGTTTACATACTTAAAATAATGCTTAGATGGACTGCATTTTAAGTTATGCACTAAATGAAAGTTATTTAATTAAAACTCCAGTTATTAAACCCTTAAACAACTCTTTAAATTAATCAGGAATTAGTTAGGAATTCGGACTGCAATACTACTCAAAAACTGGAATAAAATATTCCATGGTTTTCACAGATTATAAAAAGTCAAAAACTTCCCTCAAAAAGTCTGTCTTTATTTCCTCTTAAAAGCTGGGTATCTATCATTTAAAAATATTTTGTACAGTTTCAAATTATTTAGCATAATAAAGGACCGCATTACCCAAGATGTTTCCATTTTGCCACAATAGGTACCTAAAAATAGAGCTAATGAGGAAAAATACAACATTTTATTTGTATAAATGTGAATTCATCAGACTACAAAGTGAAAAGTAATGCTGTGAGGCAACTGTGGTTTAATTACACACCATCTTGGAGAAACGGTGTAAACAGTGTTAATTAGCCCAGAAATTAGACAGGGTGCAAGTGGGGAAATACTTCCAAGTGTTCATAAACCTGATTTTGGTATCATTTATTTCATTTCCTGTGAGCGCACCAGAGAGCTAGTTAACATCTAAGCCATGTCTAACACTGAAGGAGATATAATGCGAGGAGAAATTTAGAATTCCCTGAGAAATTACATCTAACACTGGCTCAAGGATTGGAAGACGGAGCCACACAGGGAATGAACGGCTCTAATTGAGTCCTGATAGAGACATTCACCAGAGCCACTGTGTGGCTTTAACAGCCTGAGCCTGGTACCATACTAAGTCCAGATCAGATTAGCTGCAAAGACAACCACTTTCTAATAATGGAGCCAACATCATGCCCACTCCTCTGGAAATAGTCCCATCTCTTCCATTAGCCAGTTACCCTTTGATCACAAAAACGGCACTGATCTTGGCGTTTGCCAATTCAATCTTTTCATTGTCAGCTGGCAGTGAGTTGTGCTTTGCTGCCCAAATAGGAAAAAAAAAGATATTTTATTCGTTTAGCTCACTGCAGATTGTGTCAAAAAGATTGAACTTGAGAGGAACAAATCAACCACTGCTGGAGCAATGAAAAAGATTTCTAGAGGAGAGCTTTGAATGGCAATGGAAGCTTAACACAAGCAAAGGCTACAGGGTCATTTTTCTCCATCGTGCCACAGTGCAGCAGACATTTACGGTATATCTGTGGGCTGAGAATAATTTATCACTGGATCGCCTCTGACCCCTTAAATAAATTATCCTGTCTGTAAAAGCTTTTTTTATGTTATTCCACTCAATATACCTGGTTTTTTCCCACTACTTCATAACATACCGAAGACAAAAACAATCCCTAACACGGCACCTCTAGCTAAAATGTTTAATTTAATGAGAAACTTTTCTGAAGTGGTGTTATAAACTCTTCTTGATGCTCAATGTGAATTTATTCATCTAACTTTACAGCCTTCCAACTCTGGTGCTGGAGAAAACTGCCGCTTAAAGCTCAATGGGACAGCTGTGTCTGCAATAAAATAAAAAATGCTCAACCAATTTAAAAAAGAAAGCAATCTGAGAACAGGTGCTGCAGCAAATCCCAGAATTACATTTCCAATTTCGCTAATGCTTGCTGCTCAACAGAAATACTATTTACTCACTTTACTGAACTGTTGATAACGAGGAAATAACGTCAGTACCTAGAAGCCCAACAGACATAAAAAATAATCTATTGTTAATTTATTGTTAAGAGACATCAAATTGACTTATTTGGCAATAACAGAAAAATTGTAAATTATTTTTACACATGATTAACATCTTATAAATTTTTTTAAAACAATCCAAATACACAGTCTTATTATATATTTTGACCCCAAAATCTTATTCTTGTGGTTTGTTGTAGGTACCCTTAAGCTACAAACACATTACACTATAATGTAGTGTGGTTTGTTTCCCCTCTTTTCTTATTAGCCTTCTAAAATGTCACTTCTCTTCCTGCTTTGAGAATGCTGGGAAGTGGCAAGCATTCACAATGCTAAGGGTATGCATGATCAATGGCGATGGCGGAAATCGAGACTGTGCCTGGGCACAGGATTGGTTCACATTTGCATTATCTGCTCCAGAAAAAGGTAAAAGAAAAATGATATCAAAGGTTTAGTGTAAAAATAGTTATAACTTTGCATGATGCTTCTAGTGAATAGCATGGCTGAGTGTTGGAGCTCCAAAATGGGCTTTTTTTTTAATCCTCATTAGCAAAATCCCAAGTTAGCATATATAGGACATTTAAACCCCATAATCTATTATTGCCAAAGTCATAACACTCTGCAACTATATATAGATTCTTTTTTTTTTATTATTCTAATGTCGAATAGGGGCAATTTAATGCTGATAGTCAGATTGCATAACATTTTAAACACAGTGCTACAACTGAGTAAACTCTTCAAAAATGTTTTGAATATTTTTTATTTTGTACATTAAAATATATTAACCTGAACAGTGTTGACAATAAGAGCAATATGTCATTGTTTCCTGCAGGTTATGTTTACCCTGCCTGTTAGACTGCCAGAATACATTTAAAGGCAAAAGGAAAGTATATTTAGCTGAGCTTGAAAGCGGGTTTTTTCAGTACCTTGTTGAGGCTTCGTGCTGCGCTGTCTTTGCCGCCCGGCGTGAGGTTCCGCAGCTGGACGTCGAGCAGATCTACCAGCTGAATCATTGCCCTCACAGTATAGGTGATGTCGCCCGCATGAAGGTTGCTCTTGGTTTGTTCTGCCAGCTCTCTAGCAATAACTGCTGCTGTCTCTCCAGCTTTTATCTGGGGAAAAAAAAAAAAAAAAAAACTTTAAATGAAGATCCTAACTCACATTATCGCTTACCTTAATTAAATCTTAGGTATTCTTTCAAAAGGTAAAACCTGTGCACTGCCTACAAGGGAATAGAAGATAAATCGGAATCTATCTATCAAAATAAATTCGTCTGACCTAAGGAATTTTTTCCCTCACTGCTGTAACATTGCAGACAATATATGTACACTAAGCTGTCTACTTACACAGTTAAGTCTACACCAGGGAAACCTGTTATTTCTGCTGTTCTAATACTGTTGAGTGAATATTCCCAGACAGCATTATACATTTATAACTCTAACACAGAATATAGCCATTTGAAAGAGGGAATATTCTATATATTAATGGGTTATGAGGGAGTTCATTGCTTTTACACCAAGGTCCTTTTATTTCCAAGATCAAAAATTGAGAGATAATTTTATTTTTTATTTTGGTTAAAATTATTTTTAATTAGATCCATTAAAAGGAGCAGAATGAATTTAGGTTTTCTAGTTATATGAAGCATAGATTAGCACCATGCTGCTCCATCAAAAATGTTGCATAACAGTGCAAGAATAAAAAGAGACTGAAGTAAAAGCCTAAAGGAAACTTCTGCCTTGCGTACAGGACGAATGAATTTCTCTGCCAAAGAAAATCCTGAAAACATGGAGGTAGAAACTAGGTAGTGAGTGCCACTAGTCTTAAGAACACACTTCATTAAATCACATTTTTTCTTTCTCTTTTTGTTATCTTACGGATATTAAACTAAGATTTAAATACTGTTTGGCTTATTTTAACAAGCCAACACAGGTATGAATTGAATTTTGGCTTCAAATTGCAAAAAAAAAAAATGTTTCTTATCCAAGGATCCTTGATGACTAATGTAAAATATCTTGATTTACGATTTACTGCTTTTGATGGTAACTTCAAGAAAAGGATATTGGGTAAGAAAGTGTGCAATTTCTAACTATAAGAAACAAAGAAATATATCTGAATGTTCATTTTAACTAGAGCTAACAAGCTAGTCAAAAAAAAAGAAAATACAGTTAATAAAGAAAAAAAATCATGGGACTTGCTTGAATAAATTGTTAATGTTGTTTTGTTTGATATATAAATACATTTTTCTTTTTTGTTAAAACATGTGTAACATTTGTTATCACTGTCATTTTTTTTATCATGTAAATGGACGAAGAAAAAGCTATATTTGCTCCAAGAATCAGCCCAAAATTATTGGCAGCACATATTTGGGGAAATGGTTAAACAGATGTCAAAATAATCGGTATCCGCATCAGCCTTTAAAAAAAACTGCACTGGTCCATCTCTAGTACCAGTTGTCAGGAATATTGCTTCTACGCTAAATTTGAAAGAAACACAAATAGTACAAAAAAATAATAAAAAAAGTAATAAAATCTTCTACTTCAGAGAAACAGCACACCTTTAAGTATTCCTATTATTAGCACAAGGGCGACAATGGCATTAGGTACATGACTCGGTGGGTTCCTCGTTAGATAATAATTATAATGAAAAAAACTAGAGTAGGGTTGATTATATTAACTCCTATTAATTTGTAAGTTGTTGGTTTTTCAAACAAACTTTAAATTTTTGTTTAAGGTCAAAGAAGATTAAAAATAATACCCTAAATGCTGAAGTTTTCATTGAAGTGCATAATAACACAATACCTACTTAACCAATACTTAAGCAGTTTTTTCATTACTAAAATGCTCTAGAGTTTATTTTCTTTTCATTCATCACCAACCTCCTTAGAGGGGAACACTTTGTCTCCTCCTTCAGCTTTTTTTTTTTTCTACACAACTTTATCAACACAACAATTATTGGCAATAGATATGGGCAAGTTCTCTGTTAGTTCTCTAATGGATAAGAGAAACAAGCTTCTGCGTCATGGCATATTAACTCTCCAGAGAAATAGGAAGTAATCAATTACTAATTCAAAATCCCAGGACACAGGGATCCACTTAAAAAAGAACATTAATGAAATAAAAGTTTATGACCATGTAAGATGTTTTTACACATCCTTACCAGTGGTGCAACTACCTGTGAAATGCATTGTTTTTTTCTTCCATGATAAAACTCATCAGGAGCATGCAGTGATTAGATATTCAGCAACTAAGACGTTAGTCAAAAGTGTATCAGCCTGATTCACTGTAGCGTTACCTGCCATCTCTGCCAGTGAGTTTATTAGGGAAGTAATTAGACTCCTTAAATTTCTCCTTGTAGGGGTGTGTGTGTGTGTGTCTGAGGAACATATCTTAGGAAGATGTTTTCGTCCCCGGTTTCCTTACGCTCATCTCCTAATGAGAAGAGTGGAGATAGTGGGTAAATAGCTCTGCTCCCTCTTTTTGTCTCATACTCTCTCCCCTTTCTGCTTGTCTGGTGTCATTTTGCTTCCCTTCCTTTACCATCTACGTCGTCCTTTCTCATTTTTTTCTCCCAAACATCTGGTAATGAGCTGTGATACTCGCAGGACAATCGCTATGGATATAATATAACAAAGCGGCAGATGGGCATTCCGAATCCCTGAAGGGTTGGTCTTCATTAGAGACTTCCTTTCTCTACCAAGACAGGCGTACCGCTCAACTGTCATATCTTTTGAAATATATAAAAAAAAAAATTCAAAGCTTTTTTTTATCCTAAAAATACATATATTACTTTATCAAGTTAGCTTTTTTTTGTAGATTTGCATAATGCAACAATAGTCTTACTGCTTCTGATGAGCAGAGCCACAAAGCAAACTTAAAGTAACTTTGCTGCATTTGTTCATTGATTTTCCAGTAATAATGTAGTCAACAAATTTAATGTACTATTCACAAATATAGCAGATAATTTTTTTTTTCAATAGCCTTTCTCGATTTATATCTTCAAACTGCTTTCGGTCTGATGGGCTAAGTTTTCCCTGCAGAGTAACATGCATGCCTAAGGGTATAGCACGCTTAAAGTGGAACACTTTTACCGCTTGCAATTCATAAGCAGGAACACAGATCCTCACTGGCAGTCACCTTCTCATCTTTTTCTTTTTTGATTTGATTAGATATTGAACTGTAGGAAGGTTGAAATGAAGCTTTGCATAATAGCCTGCAGAGCAGAAATACAACTCATTTGTGCTTGAGCAATACAGAGAGCCAATAACCGCTGTATCATGTTTTAGAGGGACCACAGCATGGATAGAGCTTTAACTACAGTAGTCTATTACACAGTGCTGTTTGGCTGGATTGGGTTTCACTCCAATCTAAACACTTAGGGTCTACCCTATCCGTAGATAGAACACACTGTCTGCCTAATCAATATAATTAATGGACTAAATATGAGCAAAGAATAAGACAATAAAAAGTAGATTTGACTGAGTTCAAGAGGTGTTTTTGTACTGAGAGCTGCTGCAAATGTTCTTAACAGAAGGGCGGGAGGTCATAGGCCTAGCCAGAGTTAGGACTGAGTCCTTAAGCATTTCTGATTTTATAAAATCAGCAAGTAAAGGATATGATGAATATTCTCTCTTCAGCTTGGTTCTTCATGTACTACAATGTTCTTTATTATACACACAACTGTATGTTTCACCATATCTACAGCGTTCTCTATCAGAACTGAACAAGTGTAGAGTTGATAGATGTCAAAATCCTAATAAAATCTATTGCTGTTCCAGCTTATTGCCATCTTAATGCGTTCCCTCAATAAAGGGTTTCTTGACCAAACAAAGCATGGGAAAACTGGGTTATGCTTTTAAGTTATTTTTTTTTTATCATTTAATGGAGCACCAGCTCATTCAAAAGGCTAGATTCAAAGTCCTGACTGGAACAAGAAATAAACAGAACTGCCCAGAGATCTCAGTCTGCTTTAGGTCTCTGTTTGATAAACTTTAAAATATGTTAAAAAGTCTTCAATGTGGTTAAAACACATTTTAGGATTATTTCTAAGTATGAACCTATGGAGATCTGTTGGTTGAACGGATTGGGCCCCAGGATTGTCCCAGGATTCTCACTCAATGCTAAGTGCAAATTATAAACTTTCCCATATTTTTAAGATGTTATGAAGTAAAAGTTTAGTTTTTACCTTTTGGTTGATGATGTTTACCCATGGGGATGTACAGTTGCTGAAATCAGGCCCCTGCTGGTCCCAGTATCCTTCTGGACCCAAGCAAGTGAATGAAACCATACCTTTAAAAAGAGGACAGACAAGGTGGATTTAGAGTCACAGCAAAATAGCTTTTTTCTCTCTCTGTGTATTTTGTGTGTCATTCTACCCAATCAGCCTATCTGCATTTCCCATTTTTCCAATACCCTTTCCCATTATAGACTGACACACCACACAATGCCTCATGGTTCCTCATCTACTGCCTGAGTCTTTTGTATGTCAAGCCCTTTCAGGTATTTGCAAAAATTGTACAAGGACACAACATTTCTAAGTGATCCAATTTGGAGAACCGTAATTGCATGGTTTTATCGTAAACTGATGAATATGAATCTGTTTCACTCTTGGCCTTCTCCTGGACTCATCCCGACACCGTCTGCATTTAATCCTTAACAGTCAGACAGTGCCTGCTCACCTCGCCATTGAAGCCTTGCATAAGAAAGCAGCTACAACAAAAAAGGTGCCACTTAAGTCTGTGGCTGAAACCATGAGGGAAGGACAACAAAGCAGACTGAAAGATGAACTATATAAATGAATTAATGAACCTGGGTATTAGTCATCAGTCATGATACACTGTACATTTTAGCATCAATACTAAGAGATCTTCATTGTTTTTTAAGTAAACCAATTGCATAATCACAGACAGAAGCTGAACAGGATGAATATATTCTAGATTATTTTGCTATGGTTTTGTATATCATTTGCTACCTTACCTTAAAATTCCATGCATGCACTTTCATTGCTTAGATAATCAAAAGCTGCACATTGACATTGAACTACTCTCACTTGTATAAGGGCGGGGGGAGGAGTGCTTTTGCAGGTCGACACAGTCTGCATTAACAGATAGAAATTTTGATGGACATATAATTTCTTTTCCCGGTCCACCTTAGACAGCCCCGTATTTGATGGGTTTATACGATAAGCGACTCTGCATCTCCCCACCAGGCTGAGGGACAGGACAACGGAGCATGAAAGAGAGGGAGAACGTTGGCTGGGGAGTCAGGGGAGGGTCGGGGGGGTAGAGACAGAGTGACAGCCAACGAAAAGACGTAGATGGAAGGGGGGCTCGGAGAACTTTCAAAGAGTGGCAGAGGAAGCTCACACGGTTGTGTTCTGCTTGACAGTGCTGTCTGAAGTGCAACAGCTTTGAAGAGCGCTCTGAGAAGAGGAGGTGGGGTACCAGCTCCTCTTATCTATGCCATGTGTTGGCTGTTAGTGAGTTCTCAATAAGAGCTGACGTTGCTCCGTAAATGAAGACGGCATGTATATGATGTTCATGTTTCTGTGCATTAACTGATGAACGGATTGGGCCCCAAGCTGAATCTGAACATACTACAGGTTTGGTTTGGTTTGTTTGCAGCTCCCTCTAAATTTAGAATTATATGCAAGCTCTGCAAATTGTACATTTCCAAATGCATGCAAATGCTTGCTCTGAAAGTAGAATAAAAAAAAAAAAATTTAATAAAAAAAAAAACTTTAAGAGAGTATTGGGACCATTGAAAATGGCCAAAAAAATCTCAGCAATTTCCATTATTAAGACTTAAAACTAATATTTCTTCTTAAAGTAATATATTGGTTGGAAACATTTCAATTTGTCAGAAAAAAAAGTTACAATAAACACTAATAAAAAATAATAAACACTCCATGTCCAGAATGCAGACTTGCCACCAAAACTTCAGTTTCCATATCACAAGCGTGAGAGGGTGAGAAAGAAACTCCAACATGGCTGCTTTGTCTGCTTGTGTCTGCGCCATGAACATGTTGTTCTAAAACAAAAATAAGCCCAGTTGTACCACTTCCTCATCGGGAAATATTCAGATGCAGCTTGCATAAATGTATTTACCACTTTAATCTGAATATCAATCTGATGACTTGTCTCTTTTTTGGTCACAGATGTGTGAATACAGTATACTTTTGAGTTATTCTTTATTTTGTATCATACATTCTGAATTTACAATATCTAATAATATATGCATTTTTCTCTTAAAATTTTAAAATAGATAAAACAGATTTCTGGTAAGATAAATACTTTTACTTTTGTTCTTTGATCTGCAGTTTCCTTTATACTATCTCAATACTCTCTAATTCTACAATAAAATTGTCTGAGGATGTAACTAAATATAGAACTCTTTATTCAAACAACTTTATTTCCTCTAAAATGAGTGGAGCTATTGCTGTCATTTGCACAAAAAATATGAATTATGATTTTAATTGACAAAGTTACGGTACCTATTAAATTATGGGACTCTTCCATCCACAGAACCACCGGCCCAATAATTCTGAACTTAGTTCTGTAGAGCGATTAAAAAAAAAAAACTGTTTCTACACTTAACAGAGCTTATACTTAAACAAAAAACCATTTGGTAATTTGGCCGAGTGAATCTGTGTTTTCCCAAAGCTGTTCCCTGAATTAATGCAGAATTCACTGATGTTAAGCTGGTAAACATGTTATGCTTTGTGTTTTTTTCCATAACGATACTCCTGACCCAGTCCTTTGTGTTGAGCTGTTTCCCTTTCTTGGATAATAATGCTGACTACACAACTTCACGTCCAGTTGCCTAAACATTTTCAAGCTTGCCACAGTTATTGCAAGACCTCTTTGGTTTGTGTTAATTCCCAAAAACATTTAAGAACAATCCCCTGGACTTTGTTTCCAAGTTTGAAGATGTTACGCTTCCCATCCAGGAAGCTTTTTCAATTCAAAATGAAAACGTTTGTGTTAAAAGAAAGCATACCAAGCCCTTCATGATCAAAGGAATTAATGAAGCTATGGCTGCTATTTAGTTCCTTTTCTCCACCATATAAAGCATTTATAGTATATGGGTTCTGTGTTTACATAGACACTCATTGATGGCATTATTCCTTCTATTAATTTTGTGGACTCTATGTTTTCTGTTTATCAAAAGTACTCCTTATGGACCGATTCTGTCTCAGGTCCCTATTGAAAGTAGATTTTGGAACTGAATTAGGTTGTATATAGTCAATTATTATTATTATTATTATTATTAGTAGTAGTAGTAGCAGTAGCAGTAGTAGTAGTAGTAGTCTACCAGCTGCACATAATCACTAAAAGATCAACTGAGGCCATTACTTCAGTGTCATTTTTTTGTTTCTATTACCATCCAAGAAAGAAAAAAAAAAAAAAAAAAACATTCTGCTTTGATGCAAAGACAGAAAATATTTTCAGACATAATGTTCTAATTTATAAAAACTTCTGATCATTAATTATCTACAGCTATTCTGCAGTGAAATCCAAAGTACAACAACAGCTGTTGGGTGTTTTTAGTTACTAGAAGTTAGAAAAATTTGACATCATGCTATCTTTAGTGCGGCATCAGTGAGTCGGGATCAGAAAGTCAATGGGGAAAGACAGGGAGAAAGCAAATTTGGGTTGTGCAGGGAGTGTAAACATAAACAAGAAGGAACACAAGCAACTCACAGCAGACTGGGTCTCCTAAGAATATTGACATTCTCACAGAGAGAGGAAATAGAGAAACAGTATACTTATTCAATAGGCAGAGGTTCTTTGATTTCAATGCATGGATGTTTGGGTTTGCATTGGATTAATCATAAATCTTGAATGTTTGCAGTTTTATTATCACTGCCTCCATCACACCACAACTTGTCTTATATTTTTTCTCATAGAACATTTTTGAGAAGTTGCAATATAAAGATGGACTGCTGATTTACAAACTGGTTTCAAAGCTCTTGGTGGTATCTAACTTGATCAGAAAACTAAATGAAAATAAAATACACTATACTGTCAAAAGTTTTTGTTCAACCATCCACATGATTGGAATCAGGTGTTCCAATCACTTCTATGGCCACAGGCGAATAAATAAATAAAGCACCTAGAACCACAGACTGTTGTTCCAAACATTTGTGAAAGAATGGGTCACTCACAGGAGCTCAGTGAATTTCACTGTGGAACAATGCCACCTGTGCAGCAAATCCAGTCGTGAAATTTCCTCGCTCCTAAATATTCCACTGTCAGCAGTCAGCTGTATCATAAGAAACTGAAATGCTTGGGAACTCAGCCATAAAGTGGCTTCTCCATCTGGAAATCTGATGGACAACTTTGGGGTTTGGCAGTTGCCAGGAGAGAAGTACTTGTCTGACTGCATTATGCCAAGAGTAAAGTTTGGTGGGGGAGCGGATTATGACATTTTTTTTTTTTTTAAGAACTGGACCTTGCCCCTTAGTTCCGGTGAAAATAACTCCGAATGCTTCAGCATACTAAGACATTTTAGAATATTCTTGGCTCCTAACTTTGTGGGAACAGTTTGGAGCTGGTTCCTTTCAATATGACTGTGGACTAGTGAGCGAAGCAAGGTCCATAAAGACATGGATGGCAGAGTATGGTGTGAATGACCTTGACTAGCTTGCATAGGATCGAAAACCTGATAGAACACCTTTGGGATGAATTAAAGTGGAAACAGAGCCATGATCTCTTCTCCAAGATCAGGGTGTTACCTCACAAATGCACGTCACAAATGCAATAGTCAAACATTTTCAGAATTGCAGTCTTACACCTTATGGACAGCCTTCACAGAAGAGTTGATGCTGTTCTAGTCACCAAGGATGGACCAATTTCATATTAAACCCCTGTTAGGATTGTGATGGCACTTAAGCTTGTATCTGAGTCACAGCAGGTAAGCAAATTTTTTTGGCCATATAGTTTATATTACTATACATTTTGTTTGGTTACCTTCAGAGACCTTTTAGAGCTGGTAAACTTCTACTGCACACTTTAAACGTGCCTGCATAAACCTAAAAGCCTGTATAGTCTTTACCAAGTATTAACCTTACGTTAGTTCACAGAGAAAAAGGCAGCTTGTTAGTTGTTTAAACGTTTGGCATCAGATGTGGTTAGTCTTACCAATGGTTCCTGATGGACATGGCATCTTGATGACTGTACCCTGTCTGGTCTTCGGCCAGGAGATGTCCATCATTACTATAGGATTGCAGTATTCCAACCTGATGTGCGGAGGACTGGCAGAAGGTGGTGCTGCATCATGGTCTTCAGGCCTTAAGGCATTGACTATCGTGTGCATGGGGGGTATCAGTGTGGATGTTGTCCGTGGCCAAGCAGCCGCTGCAGTCGTTGTGACAGGCATTCTTGTGGTGGTCGTCCTAGATGTTGTGGTTGTCAGGGTGACAGTGGTAGGTCGAGTAGTGGCCCTCATTGTTGAAGTCATGACATCCATGTATACCATGACGGATGAGGAGGTTTCTGATAAACACAGAAGGACAGAGGCACCATTAGAAAAAAAACAACAAAAAGAAAGACAACAACAAAAAAATCAACTGTTAATACTTAAAATTCTTCAATCAGTTTTACCCAAGCTATTTTTGATTTGGAATTGCTATCTTTTTAAAACCCATATAAGGGAGGGCATGCTAGGGAGCATTATTCACCCTTTTTTTTCAATGTGTCAGTTTAAGAGAGGATAGTTCAAAGAGGATCAGTTGGAGCTGGCAGGTGTGACTACAACGCGCATGCATGGTGTCTACTTTAGGACCCCTGCCTGCTAAAGCAACATACACACATGCACACACACAAATGGCAGGAAAATCAAACTTCCAGCTGTGCATTCTAAATGCAGCTGCTAGTGGGGCCATATCTTTGCAAGTCAAAAGCATTTTTTTAAGTACATGCTATTTCTGGGTCAGAGAGGACAAAGTGGAATACCCATTTCCTGGATGTGGATCCACCCTGTGGTTACACTCCAGGAGTTGTTTGCTAATGATGTTATTTACCTGGGCTCTTGGGGGAAAGAGCTATTACAATAACACCAACACATTCTCACTAAGAGATGGTCCTTTACACTAGCTCAGCTATCTTTCTCCTCCTACTTAAATGCAATGCTCCCAGAGTCTTGAACATCAATCCTGCCTTGTATACTTTATTTACATTCTACAGTTTCTTTGATATAAATAGAAGAAGGATTACCAAATTAATCTAACTGCAGGTTTTTTATGAATCTCTAAACCCCAGAAACCCATATAGAGTCTTAGGACACACATGGAATAAAACCTCATAATGTATGGCAAATGAACACAAAAAAGAAGAGTCCTGACTCATATATTCATCCAACTATTGTATAATAAGTATTGTGAATTTGCATCACCATCTTTGCTCTATTTAACTATGCCAGCATTTCTATATGTCACAATCTAATTACTGTATGGGGTTTGGTAGAGAAAGGCTTGCAGTGGCCCCTCTAAACGGATGAAAAAGGCCTTTCTCACTGACACACACAATTTGGACCTCTGCTAAAATGCAATTTGGGACAGCTGTCATTTCCTCCCAGTGCCGAAATACAATCAAAAAGACAGAAGTGACAAACGATCCAAATCTTTGTATGAAAGGCGAGCAAAACAAAATTTAATGAAGGTCAATTTAGCATTGGCAGGTTTAATGGACATGGCGTAGCCCAGTGAGCTCAGATAACACAGAGGCAAAAAAAAGAAAGAAAAAAGTTAGATGACTTTCAATTTGCAATGGAACAATATCTTGGCACCGCAAATTTGCAAAGGGTAAAAGGAGATGGCATAAATTAGAGCAGCAGTTTTGGATGCCGAGGCCACCGCGAGCTGTAATGACACCCCGACAATCATCAGCAGTCGATGCTTTAATTTTAATAAAAAAAAGGAATGGAAGTAAATAATTTACAATGCATGTGTTCCATCTGTAGATCCTTTAAAATCTTGTAAAAAAAAAAAAAAAAAAAAAAAAGCAGTTCTATCTATTAAAGTATTTTTTACTTTGACCTCTTGAAGGCAATTATTACTATTACGGTACCACTATTTTTTAGAGTTGAAACCCTTTTTTTGTTTGTTTTATGACCTGCATCAACTATCCAAAACTGTTGTTATTACAATTTTAAAGTGTTTGTTAATTAATTCATTTCAGTTTATTTATATAGTGCCAGCTGACAACACATGTCATCTCAAGGCACTTTATAAAGACAATACAACCAGATCATACAGTTAGATTGGTTCAACGTTTTCTATCTACTGTAGGGAGAACCAGCTGATTGCATTGACTCTCCATTAATCCCTTACACCAAGCATGCTTGTGACAGCGGAGAGGAAAAATTCCCTTTTAACAGGAAGAAACCTCCAGCAGAACCAGGCTTAGTGTGAGCGGCCATCTGCTGTTGCCCACTGGGGTTCAAAGAGATAGAAGCAGAGACACAGAAAGAAGCAGAGATACAAATTTAACACTTTTAAAAGGTTTCTTATCCAACTTGACACAGTTTGAGGGTTTATGGTTAGAGGGACATGATAAGTGACAAAAAAAAAAAAAAAATTGTGTCCAAACCCACAGTTGAACCAAAATAAACATGGAAACGGAGGACATACGTGTAGCCGCCGCTGTTACATCTGTAGTCCACAATTTCATATTTGAAACAGTAACAGAAAGAGCGTAAAAGCAGAAGTTGTTGTGGTTTCTGATTGCATCTGCTGCTATTTCTTTGTTACGGCAATTAACTAAAAACAAACATTGGTAGGTGGGCTCTAGGTGTCTCTTTACCCAATAAGCTCATACTGTAAGTTTCTTCTGAATGTCCTTCCTTTCCCCGAACATATTCCATTGGACAACGCCCAGATTAATTTGTGTAGTGATAAATCTGATTGCTATATATTATTAATCTGGCTTGCCAGGTCAGAGTGAAATACCCTTAAGGACGCAGGCCTCTTATTTGATTGTTTATGAAAACACTTACATTTGCATTTGTGGCTATGGGAAATAATGACAGTCCCAAAATAATGACTGGTTTTAAAAAAGAAATGTGTGGGTTTAATGTCACAGTATGTGAAATGATCCTCTGACTGGGAGGGAATCATCAGGTTGTCTGATGAAAATCTGATCGTCTTATATCAAGGTCAACACAGGCCTCACTATGCCAACCACCTCGCAAGATAGTGACCTAATAGGCATGCAGAGGGGCCAATTACAAGAAATGAATGTCTGCACAGGTGAAGAAGACAGATTTAGAAGTAGCGTTGCTGCTGAGATTCCTACAATTGATGATGAGGAAAAAAATAGAAACACATCAGGGCATATTAAAATGGAAAGATTGTAGTTAGAAAAAAATCACCAACACATTATTTTTTTTCATTTCTCAGTAGCATTGTTCGAATTAAATCGCATGCAGAGTTGCAGGGAAGTGCTTTTTTTGCCTAAACATATTTTAACAAAATGACTTCTGTGAAATAAAAAAGATAATCTTAAAAAAATAGAATAATATTTCATGTTGCTTTGGAAACTTCAAGGCTTGAGGCAAGTATAAAGATTTGAAATGCAACCTGTTGACAGATGTATGTAGAATACCTTGATCTGTGGGGGTTGATTGGAACTCAATGGCACATCATGGTAGCAGAAATGTCACAATTATGATTGTCTTTATGTAAAGCAAGCAAAACTACTCTTTAAGCTGCTCAATTTCTAGATATCTAATAAAAATGTTCAGCTCTTTTTTGTGGTTATAAAAAATATTATACAATAGTAGTAGCCTTTAATTTCTGGGATAGTAGCTACTAAGTTCTGGTAAAAGTAAGTTCTATCAGAGTTCTACTAATAAATCTGAAGAATTCAAGAAAGCCCCTGGTAAGTTTATTGTTTTAATTACCTGGTTGGTTATATGAAAGAAACAGGGACACCCCTTGAAACCAGGAAAGTATTTGGTAAGTTTTGGAGGGTCAATAATAAGGTTTCATGGTAAGTACATTTCAAGCTATAGATCAGGGGCCTTCAACGTTTACCAGGCCAATCAAAACTTTCGCAACGCCCATGCAGTACCCCTGTGGACCCCCTACGGGGTTGCAGACCCCCTGTTGAACACCTACACTCTGGAAAGTATCACGGATAATTTGAAAAAAATATCTGGTAAGTGCAGAGAAAGTAACCAATATGTTTCAGGTCAATTCCAGGAATGTATCTATAAAGTTCCATTAAGAAACTTGTTTTATTTATAAGAAAATAGTGTCTGAGTTTTAGAAAACATAATGTAATTCAGCCAAGCTTTTGTCATTCCTCTTATTTATTTGTCCTTTTAGAATCTAATACTCCAAAGTCTGGTCAACCATTTCATCTAGTAATTTCTCATCCCAAGCTGAAAGACGGTGAGATCATTTTGGTTTACCTCTTTTTCTAAAGTAATAAAGATAAAAAATGTTCAGCGCTTAAGGCACTATGACAGTACAGAAGAAATACGACTTAGGGAAATGTCTATCACAGCAGGAGGTTAATTCAAAGTCACCAGGAATCATGTTTAGAATGTAATTCTATTCTTCTGGATGATCCCACTAAGTCCATGGGTGAATAATTTTTCAGAGGGTTCAGTCTACATACAGCATGTTAAATACACCTGCAGACACACAAGGACACAAATAAGATAGAGACCAGGGACAGAAACGAGGAGGGTGCCCTTGAACAGAATTAAATGTTTTTTCTTCTCCATGAAATAAAAAAGAAAGCTAGTAGTGGACAGCAGCAACAGAATGCAGGTCCCATGGCAATAGAGAAAAACACAACTAATTTACAAAAAGGGATAAAAAGGAAACACAAAAATGTAAAACATCCGTTTGATGAAAAAATGAGAGCTTACAAATTAATTTAAAGGATTGAAAAACAACATATCGCAATACGTTAGAGAATAAATCATTTAGGCTACTATAGCGTTTTGGTGTCCTGTGATGAGAGGTATTATGCAAAAACCTTTAATCACTCCCTATTAGTAAGGAAAAGGGCAAAATCTGTATGAATATGATTGTTTATTTAAAACTCCACCAAATAAAACAAAAGCATATTAAACATTTAAGCCATAGATACTTGAGCGCGCACTCATAAATCTATCAACCTGCTCATTCATAAAAGCCAGCAGTAAACTCTGCTACACTCTCCTGCTTCCTGTCTTGTTGAAACACCAGAACCCTCCTATCGTTCATGCTCTGCTTCAGCTCCTCCTAAATCTCACAGAAAGCATGAAGTCTGTTTCTACCACACACAGAGCTTTGTGTTTCATTTCAAAGCATTCATTTCTAACTAATTAGCCTCTCTCTGTATCCCAGGGCTTGTGCCTTCCACAATTAGATAAGCCTGCTCGACTTCGCTCCAGGAGAGAAAATTGCAATACTATTATGAAATGGATCCGGTTTGTAAGACTTACTGCTTCCACGTGGAGAGCATGCTCGTCAGGTTCTGGGAAACTTTGGATGACTCAA